GGGGGGGGGGGGGGGGGGGTGCAGGGGCTCCATCACTGTCATCAACTGCCTGGTAAGGTGTGACTCCGGGGCCGGAAAAAGTGACCAGTCACTGTCGCTAGGGAATTGTCTCTCGTGACCCACTGGGATGACGTGCGCCACACTGGCTTCCGTCCGTGTTTTTGCCCTGGTGCCGCGTTTGTGCTGAGGATCGATGCCGTCTGTCTGGCCAGCTGTTAGCCCGTGAGAAGGCACTCACTGTTTTTTGTCTTTTTCTGGGAGGGAGTCCATGACTAGAATATAAGATAAAAATGCAAGTCCTCTGACCTTGGACTGCATTATTGTGTGTGACACATGCCTTAATCACTCTGCTGGATATTTTTGCCCGCGACAGCAAATTTATTAAAAGGTCCTACAGTTTGCTGGAATTTAGGTCCTAGTTCATGCTGTTTCTGTGTCTCTGCCGGCCAGTAGGAGAGGAGTGAGTGTGATGAAAGGCCGTCCGATTGGCCCGTGCTTTGTAAGACCATCCTCTAACGGGGGCTGTTTACCTTCTGGGCATGTGGAGCGGCCCATAATGGGGGCTTACAGAGTCACAAAGGGGGCCTTTTCCGTCAGGGATGCTTGGTGTCTGGCAGGGGTTCGATGTCTCCCACTAGCTCAGCCAGAGACGTTCATTACAAGTCTCTGACGGCTTCTCTTCATCAGGTCTCTCTGGTCGAACGCCGCCCTTGGTTGTGTGTGCGGGGGGTGTTAGAATTCCATGTTGTTGCTCTCTAAGAGGAATGTCACGGTAACAGATATACAATATACAGCCACAAGGTCCTTCACATCATGTCCTGGGGGGGCATGTGCTCACACTGTGGTGCTCAGCGGCTTACCGCAGTGCTCAGGTGAACGGGCCCCCGTTGTCGTGGCTCTCATTGCCCGCATGCCCCTTCCCTGGGGCTCTGAGCCCACACACCATGCTGAGTGGCCCCTCCCCAAGAGATTCCAGCACAGCGTGGCTGAGCCAGTGTCCTGGTGGGCAATCCTGATGATTGGCTGTCTCCTGGGAGACCACTCATGTCCTGCACATCCCCGTTTAGAATTTAGTGATCAATGGTCATTGTTGACATACAATGCACAACAACGAAATGTGTCCTCTGCATTTAACCCATATGTGACGTCGTGATATTGCAGTGGGCAGCTAATTCGGCGTCCGGGGAGCAGTGCTTGGGGGCAGTACCTTACTCAGGGTACCTCAGTGGTGCCCTGCTGGTTGGGGATTTGAACCTGCAATCTTTCAATTACAAGTACACTTCCCTAACCATCAAGCCACTAATGGAAATGAAATGGACACACTGGCAGTCTGCAGTCAGGGGCTCACTGATCTGATCTGTGTCACTGTAACTTAATTTCCTCATAGAATGTTCTGAACCGTAGCCAGGACCACTGCATGAACAGCCCATTGTGGCCCGCAGGAAGCGGAACCAGCTGGAATGGGCCGGCACATTCCAGGTCTCTGTCCAATGCAATGGGCCGTACTGGCCTGCAGCATCATACAAACTTGCTTTTGTTTTTTGTTTGTTTTTCTTTTTATTAGAATTATTACTTGGGTTTAGAACCTGTCTTGGACCAAGTGCTTGTTACCCCGTGGGTTGCCAGGTATTACGAGGCCCCTGCTATGTGTGTGTGCGCCCAGGGGATTATTTTCCTTTCTCTTACTTTGCAGCAGCAGGTGGTGCTGTAGATCTGTAGTTTGTTTTACCCGAAGCAGCTTGTTTGTGATTGGCTAGCAGATGTTTGTGGGCAGAGCCCAAGATGTTGTGAGCCTGATGTTTCTAAAGAGGGACCCTGGACGAGCCTTCGTCTTGGCTTGGGACTCCGCTGTAGGCCGGTGTCCCTGCCCACCAATGCCGACAAACCCAGACAAGCATTGCTCCGCTAAGCCGTCGCTGCGATAGTGGGTGACCCTGGGTGTGACCCAGTCTCTGTGGAGCGTGGTCGGTGCATGCCGGCTTCGATAAGGCCGACGCCTGCCTTTCTGGGTTTCCGCCTTCTGCGGAACGTCAGCCCCAAACCACCGGAGCCTGCCGTGGTGGTTTCCCTGGGCTTGCTGGGCATGGTCTCCTCGCGGACCCTGCGACCCGTCGGGGCTTCAGCCAACCCGCGGCACACGGCCCCAACCCAGTTGCCTCCCCCCTGCTACAGCTCATCCGCTGGATGTCCAGCTTGTGCCACTACTGCCCTCTGGTGGTCAACCTTGAATAGCACATGGTACAGCAGAATCCATAGCCTTGGCAACATGTGGTGAGCTCCCCATCATTTTACCCGAATCGTTAATGACAAGTGGGTAGAAGCTTCTTCCCTTTCCAAAAAGAATGTGTTGTTCCCCAAAATGGGGGTGCTGAAACCAACTCGCCTTCTAAAATGGGCGTTCACCCTGATTGGCTGCTGCATTGGAGGTCCCTTAGCACGAGGGGGGAGGGCTGTCAGACCCCGGAACAGGACTGTTCGTCTCTGTGTTTGTGCTGACACTGAATCACATGTCAGGGAGAGGGGATAAGGACAGGATGAGGAGGGCCGTTCCTGAAAGCTGGTGAGCTCATTCGCGGGGGCTGCAGGGGGCTGCAGGGGGCTGCAGGGGGCTCTGGGTGGACAGGTGACAGCAGTTCCGATAATCTGAGTGATTTTATTAATTCTTCTCCTCCCGTTTTTTCAGGGTGCCTTTGTACAAGTCGAGCTCTGAAGAGGGCTGCGGAGGTGAGTGCATATGTGTGTGTGTGTGTGTGTGTCCGCATGCATTTAGTCACGCATGGCCGTTCTCACTTTGTTCTGACCTCATTTCTCCATTTTCATTCGTACTGTGTTCTCTTATGAGTGTGAACGATAGTGCCGATAGTGTGAACGTTCACTCTCTCTCTCCCGTGTATCACTGGGTGCACCTTTCAGTCCGACGGCCCAAGCAAATGCAGCCTTCCGTCTCATTTACGCTGGGGCCGTTGGCGGATCGGTACGGTAGAGCGAAAGCTACCTTCGCCCTGGGAGATGAACCCCATAGCCCTGTCCCGGTGCCGATTTCCGTGGTACACGTGCTGCGTTTCGATGTGGAGGGGGGATCTCAGTGATATTCAGTCTGCTGCTTCCGACATGAAAGCGATGAAAATCCCGCAAAAACAGACCATGTCTTGTTTACAGGAAGGATGCAGTGAGGGTTCTGTAGAATCTGCCCTGCTCTGTACCAGTGTTCTGCTAGATTAATCTTCTTCCTCCTTATTTTAGTAAAAATAGTTTTTGTTTGTTTTGAGTAAGGAGCCACACTAGTCTTGGCTTGTAGGTTTGAGTGACTCGGCGCATTGAGGTTGCTCTTCTAAAGGAATCCACTCTCTCTCTCTCTCGCTCTCTTTCTACCGGATCTGTCCTCTTGAGCGCAGACTCACCCATGTCTCACCCTGCAGGGAGGTGGGACAGCAAGAAGAAGAGCAAGTCTTTCTGGCAGAATTTTCGCAAGTCGCAGAAAGGCGTGATGCGTCAGACGTCGAAAGGTGCGGGTGGACTTCGTGTCGCAGACACCCCGCGAACCGAATGTCACGGCGGTGCCAAGCTGTCGCTTAACCCGTCTCAATTCAGGCTTGACCTTAAACCCCTGATCCCCCCCCCTCCCCCAGGAGAAGACATCGGTTATGTCGCCAGTGAGATCACCATGAGTGCTGAAGAGCGCATCCAGCTGATGATGATGGTGAAAGACAAGATGATCACTGTTGAAGAAGCCCTTGCCCGGGTACGACCCCCCCCCCACCCTACCTGCGGGCTGCCACCGCCCCTCCTCCCGACCCTACCTACACTTCTCCCATTCTATCCTTTCAGCCCACTAAAGCAGCTTTGGCCTCTAACTGGAAATAACACCTTCTCCGCTATTCGTTAACCTTGTCCTCACTAACCCGAGCTACTTTAGACAGCGGTAGGGAGGATGTTCCGTATCAATGGGGTTAGTCTCTGCACACGGCCATGTCCACCTCACG